AATGCAAGGATGGCAGGCAGTGCGATGGTGTGCAGCAGACGGTGCAACAAGGACGTAAGGCGGTGCGGCAACCAGCAAGGGTGACAAAGGCAGTGCAGCAAGGATGGTGGCTGTGCAGTTATGGTGTCCAAAGAAGCTACCAAAGCATGGAGCAGCAAGCTTCGGTGCAAAATGAAACTACACTTGATAGGTTAAAACTTTCAAGCAGATGGAGAGGAGCGGATACATGTCCAAAAGCCTTGCAGGAAGGCTTACTTATACACACATGCAGCAGCAAAAGAAAAGAAAAGCTTTGGTTAAAGCTGGGAAAAGCCTTAATGCCCATGACTGCCGTGTTGTGCTAAAGCCGGGAAAAGCTTTAACGCCCATGTTTGCCGTAAATGATTATGCACACATGCAGCAGCAAAAAAAAAAAAAAAAAAAAAAAAAAAAAAAAAAAAAAAAAAAAAAAAAGCTTTGGTTAAAGCTGGGACAAGCTTTAACGCCCATGTTTACCGTAAATGATTATACACACATGCAGCAGCAAAAAAAAAAAAGCTTTGGTTAAAGCTGGGAAAAGCCTTAACGCCCATGTTCACCGTGTTTTGTTAAAGCCGGGAGAAGCTTTAACGCCCATATCGGCCTGACACTACAAGCAGCATATTAAAAAAAAAAAAAAAAAAGGGACATACAGCTTTAGTTGTATGTTTGAGATGGAACAATCCCCACAAGTAACACGCTTTAGCTGTAGAGTTTTGTTAGTGATCGATCATCTTTGTTTACTTCTCAAAGGATATTGATACATTGAAAAGTTTATTCAAAGGGATTTTTCATGTATTAAAAAAAATAATAATAATAAAAAAAAAAAAAAAAAAAAAAAAGAGCTTATTTATTAATGTTTCCAATAAATTACAAATATGTACATATACATAAATCAAGATAAACAGACGAGAGGGAGGAGAGCCTTCACAAAGGTTGCTCAGGCGGAGCCTCAGCGGTCGGCGGGGCCACAGAAGGAGGAGGTATCGGAGGTTGATCATTCGGAGCTTCACTCACGGTACAGCCCTAGAAGACGAAGGCAAATGTTGTTGGAACAAGCCCACAAACCTCCGATGATCAAGTAAAAATCTGACCATCAGATTCCTGCATCTGGTCAATTTTCCTCTTCATGTTTGTGGCATAGTTGTGTGCGAGCTTGTGCAACTGTTTATTCTCATGCTTGAGCCCTCTAATCTCCTGTTTGAGACTCATCACTTCAGCCGCCAACGATTCAACTTGACGGGTTCGAGCAAATAGGCGTTGGGCCATGTTGGACACAGAACCCGCACACTGCACACTAAGGGCCAGAGACTCCTTAACAGCCAACTCATCAGACCGCTTGGAAAGCAGTCTGCTATCTTTGGGAGTGACAAGGTTCCGGGCCACCACCGCAGCGGTCATATCATTCTTCATCACCGAATCCCCAACGGTAAGATGACCAGTAGGGGATATGAATGATGGGCGCCATATGTTGTCTGGAGAAGGCGGGACTGCCTCTTCACCAAGATTCAAGTCAAAACGACGGTCGGAAGGTCCAGACATTTTTCAAAGGTGTTGAAGAAATAAGAGGTCAGACAGATCAAGACCTTAGAAGTGCAAGAAGGGAGTTTCTGCAAGCGAAAATTCAAGTGTGCTTGAAACGAACTACGTGCCTCTATAAAAATCAGCACTCAACGAGATTTTAGAGATCGAAGAGGCAAGCTCAGAGTTCGAAAATACCGATTCAAAAATCGAAGAGGCAAGCTCAGAAATCGGAGAAGCATCTTGCTTTTCCAGACGTGTTAGCCCCCGTCACACGCAAACTCAGCTTTGCGGAAATCACGGGCAATTTGTTAAAGCGCCAATCCCAGATATCGAAGAGGCGCCAGTCTTTTCAGCCTCGTCAACACCTATTAAACGCACGCTCAGCTTGATGAAAATTACGGACAATTGTCGAAAAATTCTGATAAAGAAGAAAGCACGTGAAGCCATACTGATCAATCACGCATTGGTTACCGACACGAGTAAAAGAATAGTACCTCTACAGGTACTAACGAATTTCCTATAACTGTCCACCTTCACCTTCCATAGCAAGGCAGACACACAGAGCCTCTCTTCATCTCAAAAAAATGTTTTCCCAACGAAACCTCTCGAGTCATTCAGTGTTCCTTATTCCTTGGAGTACCTCTGCAAGCTAATGACTCCAAAGCAAAAGTATCACATATCACCAGGGTAGAAAGCAAGAGTATCTCATATCATGCACTCTCCCTGTCCTTTCCTTTGTCCTTGTTCCTACCTACAAAGACAAGGATAAAGAAAACAATATGCCGGAACTTCCACTCAAACTCGGGTAAGGAACCGACTGCTTGGAACCCTTCCCTGATTGCCTACTTAGCACTGCTCTCGAGTACTCGCCTTCCACTGCTGCTGTACTTTCAAAGAAGCTGCCACATCTGCTTGGAGGACAGATAAGGCAAGTGAAAATGATACCTTGCAGCATGTGGAGACAAGGTGCAGAAGGAACAAGCAGAGAAGAATGCGGTCTGCACGATCAACTCAGCAGAAGGAGTCCGAACTGAGGAACTCGAGAAGCTGCCACATCTGCCTAAACAAACAAGCAGAGAAGAATGCAGCATGCACAGTCAACTCAGCAGAAAGAGTCTGAGATGAAGAACTCGAGAAGATGTCGCATCTGCTTGAGGACGGTGAACTCGTTTTGACCCTCAAATTCTTGGGTCGACTTACTAGGCGTTGTGTGGGCTGCACGTGCCGATTCACCACCCTTGAATCAAATCCTTAAAGACCAAGTCACCAATTGGAAGAGGAGCCCATCAATCTCGGAGATCATACCGTTGACCAAACTACTCAGGTGTGAATTAGAAAAATTGAACAAAGCAACAAGTCGTCACCTTCACCTCGTGCCTGCTTGCCGTGTGTTCGAGTCAGCCTTCAAGAATCAAGCCTCAACGGCCCTTGAAGAAGCTTCCAGCCAAATTCAAAATCAAACCTCGACGGCCCTGGAAGAAATCACAAGTCCGATTCAAGATTAAGTGTCTACCACCCTTGAATCAAAACCTAGTTCAAGAATAAGCTGTGGAAAATCAACAATTGGAGGAATCTAGAAAATCCTTCAACCCAGTTCAAGATCAAAGCTGTGGAAAGTCAACAAAGCGCAACAAAATATGTGTCGATTCACCCACTACCAAAGCCAAAGATCATCTACCACATGAAGCTCCTTGTGGTCCAATTTCAACCTTCAAGATCAAGCCTCGACGGCCCTCGAAGAAATTTCAAACAAAAAATTCAAGAACAAGCCTCAACGGCCCTTGAAGAAATCTCAAGCCCAATTCAAGATCAAGCCTCAAACGGCCCTTGAAGAAATCTCCAGCCCAATCCAAGATCAAGCCTCGAATGGCCCTTGGATCGACATCTACAGTAAGGGACTTCAAAACGCATCTCCTACACGTGACAATCACATGTATACGACGCGCCTTGAAGTGGGGGCATTTGTAGACATCGAAATTTCGGTAAATAAATGTTGACCGATAAATCAAAGTGTCAACGCTCATGTATTACATAAATTTTACACGTAGCGTGTGACTCAACGAAAATTGAAATGAGTTGGAAAAGTCATCAAATAGGACATGTGTCAACACCTGGCAGAAACGACTTATTTCATCTAGGAGGATATTATATTCAAAATTAGGCATTGGAAAATTCTATAAATACAAGCCTATTTCATTCATTTAAGGAAAGCAATTGATATTAGACCTTGAAGCTCTGAAGCTCTGAAACACCGAAGCTCTCAAGCATCCAGGTTCCCGAATAATCAAGAAAGCCTTCTTCGTTCTTCGTTCATCGTTCTTCCAAGATCAAGCCCCAACGGCCCTTTGGATCAACAATCATCCACCAATTCAAGATCAAGCCCCGACGGCCCTTGAAGAAAGGGTTCTTCGTTCTTCGTTCATTGTTCTTCCAAGATCAAGCCCCGACGGCCCTTGGATCAACCATCCACCAATTCAAGATCAAGCCCCGACGGCCCTTGAAGAAAGCACCATCGTTCATCATCCGTTCATCCAAGATCAAGCCCCAACGGCCCTTTGGATCAACAACGTCGACAAATCCACACATCCAACCGTTCTTCAAGATCAAGCCCAAAAGCCCTTAAAGATCCGTTCATCACTGTCAAGATCAAGCCTAAAAGCCCTTGGAGATCCTTTCATCACTGTTCTTCAAAGATCAAGCCCAAAAGCCCCTTTGAAGATCCGCTCAAATCCACCTTCAAGATCAAGTCCACGGCCCTTGAAGAACGTTCATCCTTAGATCAAGCCCAACGGCCCTTTGGATCAACCACACATCCACAAATACACACCTTACGGAGATCGAATCAGAGGATCAAAATAAAGAGAGATTGTAACCCAAAATCATCAAATACATAATATTTGTTTGTGCACGTTGTTCTTGTCTCTTTCGTTTCAGGAATTTTCCGTGTTCACAGATGTACGATGAGATTCTTGAGAAGAGGAAGACTTTGCTAGTTTGGCAACAAAAAGAAACTTCTTGCAAGCTCTCAAAGCCAACCAATCTTTGATTTTGGTTGGCGAGACTGGTAGCAGTAAAACCACTCAAATTCCTAAATTTATTATGGAAAGTATTCCATAAATCTGCAGGACAAACAATTGCTGCTCGTGAAGAAAAAGAGAAGTGTACCTTTGCTCAAGCGAGAATCAAGTTTCCAGGCCACATCCTTTGTTCCTTGTGTCAATTGGCGTTTTTGAAATGAGAGTTGGAGCATCAGTTTCCAACTGGTGTTGCAATCAAACACAACATTTTTCTGAATGACCGAATCCACCCTCGTGATAACAGTTTTGAGTTCAAGTTCAAATAGAACCCTGAACATGTCTAATCCTAACTCATTACGCCGCCCTCAATATTATGCAATTAATATGTCATCAAAGCACCATCAACTGGTAAATAAAAAAGTGAAATGAAAAAAAAAAAAAAAAAAAAAGAAATACTATCACGTTGCTTTTATTCACGAGTCGTCAAAAGAAGAGTCATTTGACAACTGTGCTTGCTAATAAGCTTTTACTCGTATACAACAACAAGATTGAGATGTCCGAATGCCTGAATAGCGTACCAGAACAGAATCATAATATATATAAGGTTATATATTACTGGGAGTTGGAGTTGCAATTGCAACTGTTATTGCCTCTGGTGTTGCCTCTGCCGTTGCCTCGGGCTTCTTCTCCAACTTTTCCAGTGCTTCCCACAATTTCGTGTCCTCAAAATCTTTAATAACGAAGGAGACTCCAGCGTTAATCAATGACGTCCCAGGATTCCTTGTAGCTATACCAACAACTGGCATTCCAGCTGCTACTCCAGCTGTCGTTCCTGAAACGGAATCCTTAACAACCAAAAACAAAACAAAGATGAGTGTGATGCAAGACATATCAGAATTCCATTCAGAGAATGTTATCGTTAATGCAATGCATATAGTTTTGAGAGCCAAAGTGCCAAACCTCAAAGATAAAAGTATGCTCATGTGACACTTCAAGTGTTTCAAGAGCCTTCAAATAAGGGTCTGGAAATGGTTTTGCTCGATCACATTCATTTCCAATAACGAGAATTTCAAAGAAGTCTGTGAGCCCTAATGATGATATCATTAGCTCCCCACTTGCTCGTGGAGAATTTGTCACTGCGGCCCGTCTCAAGCCTTGCTTTTCAATCCATTTGCACAACTTGTCAAGGCCCTTGACAGGTTCCAATTCTTCAGATGCCAATCTGCATGTGTGTCGTAAGTTAGGCTCAGAAAGGTTCTCCTTAGATAACAGAAAAAATAATGGATAGAAGCAAAACTTGAACACTTAAGATCGAGT